ATGGATTGTGATAAGAGATGTAAGAGCCCTCAATAAAAGTATTTAATTTGAAAAAAGAAAGAAAATTATAAGGGCAGCAATTTTACGCCTATGCTTGATCTAATGAATATATGGATTGCAATTATATATGTAAGAGCTCCTAATAAAATGTTAAAATAAAAAATAAAAAGTAGGTCAAGCCAAAGTTAATTTGAATAATGTAACTACTGAGACTGGTTTAATACAGTAACGTACACTTTTACCTCAGGAATAGGGAGACTTCCTTTTTCTCATATTTATGATTTGTTTAGAAAAACAAAGATGAAAATTCATATTATGTGATGCATAAATTTGCCATAAGTGACCCAAAGCAGACATTTTACAGAATAGATCCTCTGAGTATGATAGTAAAACTTGTAATTATTAACTGAGTTTACGTGAAAAACATCTTCCAATTTACAAATTAAAACAAAATCTATTGAGGCAAAACAGAAGTCAAAATTATATTTGTATACTGATCAGAAAAAAGTAATAGTAGGATAATATAAGCAAACAAAATTCCTTCCCTCTTGAAAGCAAAAATCACTATTTTGAAAACAAAATGGTAAAAGAAGGATTAAATCATGGATTAAATCACAGACGTATGGAAGATTAAAGCCTATTGCATATTCTTAATTGCAAACTGCACATTTTTAATCTTAAATGTTTCTCTAATTTAATATGAATTAAAGAAAATACAAGAATTGTAATGTCAATCACACATTTAGAAAAATGACTAAAAAATAAGAAAACAACAACTAGCATAAAAATCAAATCAGAAATTATAAAACATACAGAATTTTAAAGAATTGGTCTTTAAAGAAAACTCCAAAATGAATACATAATAAATTCAAAATAAATAATACACCTAAATGAAAAATAACACATAGGATCAAATTTGGATGGGAAGATGCAAAAAGAGTTGTTGAAGGTACTAACAATTGTATGACAGTTCAATCCAATACTAGCATTTGATAACTTAAATGACATAAAATTCTCTCAGCAAAGATAGATATTGTTTTTAAAAAAACAGTTTCAAAAGAGGATAACCTAAACCAATAACCTAAGAAAGTATTCTTTAAAAGGACGGATTGGAATGCAATGATTTTACTAATGAATTCTTGCAAGTTAACTGAGAATAATTAGGTAGAAATTATAACTTTTTTCTATGTTAAAAAAGTCAGATTACTAGGCAACCTACCAAAACACTACACCAAAATTTAAACATATGAATAATATGCATGAAATATAGTCATTTAAACAAAAACTGGTTTTTAGTATTATAAATTGTAAGCTATAACTTTAGTGTAATTCCCAAGAAGGACTTGCTCAAGCACATGACTTGAAAGTAACACAGTTTATTATAAATGTCACTCAGTCTAACAGTAGGTCTGAAGAGAACTACAAGACCATCATCTGAGTAAAAGATGAAAGGGCATTTGATGAAATACAACTCCGAGTCTTGATCTTTTGAAGTACTCTTGGTTGGCTAGAAAGAGAGGTGGGTTCTCTAATGATGCAGCCTGCCTTGAGCTGATAGTTACTATCATGTTTACAAGAGACTCCAAAACACTGCCAGAGAGCCTATTCTGACTAAAGGGGTTCAGACCTCGAAATCTCTATGAAAACAGGTAACTTTCCCCCACATATAAGAGACTAGTTAGTATTACTGAAAAGTGGAATTATCTGATATTACTCCTATTATTTAACATTGTCTCAGGAAATCTGAGTCCACTAATGCAGAAACTATTAATAAGCATTTTAGTTACTGGAAGGAGAAAGTATCATTAAAATTTATAGATAACAATCCTGTCTTTCTAAAATACTCAAGAATCAAAGATTTATAGCAAAATGAAGAAAGATTTTCAGATATAAAATAAGTGTAAATTTCACTACTATTTTCCCACATATATATGTTAACCAGTTAAAAAATATGATAATGGGGAGAAACCATTAACAATATAAAGGAAAATATAAAGCACATATGATTCATTCTTAAATGTTCAGGATCTGCAATAGAGAACGCCACAAAGACATACTAAGATACATAAAACAAAGGATGATGAATGGAGAGAGATCTGGCATGTTCCTAAGTGAGAAGACAAAATTGTGTAAATATATAAATTCTGCCCAAAGTATCAAAATCTTAAAGGGATTATAAAAACCTTGGTGATTTTAATCCACCAGCTGCCCTGATGGAGAAAGATGTGACAGTTGGTTTCCACAAAGATTTACAGCCTTGAGAACCATGCAGGGAAGTTCTATACTCTTCCATAGGATCCCTGTGAGTTGAATCAACTCACTAGTAGTGGGTTTGGTTTGGTTTTTATATGGTGATCTTTCAATTCTATTTCCATGAACATTCTGAGGCCTTCTAATGCCTAGCCTGGATATGGATATAAATATATGACTATGATATAAATGTATCCTATCAGTTTTATGTATACAGGTATACATGTATGCAGGTGTGATAAAAGTGGTATTATGAATAATTGGGGGGCATATAAATGGAAAAATCTTAACTATTTAGTAGTCAATAAATTCTCCAGAGAAAATTTGTCAATTCGTTGAATAAACTAGTTGGATCCCTACCTCAAACAGTAAGAGAAAGTTGGCTGGATACTACAAAAGCATAAATGAAACTAAAATAGCGATGTACTTTGATAACGAGGGGAAAAATCTGTGAATAAAAATAATGGGAGAAAAGAACAAAGGAATAAGTAACCCATACAAATAAATAAGAAAAATAACGGACACCTAATAGAAATGGATAAAAATATGAAACAATAATTCTCAGGAGGAGAAATAACTAATAAATGACAATATGCTTATTGTCACTGGTGATCAAAGAAATGTCACTTTTTATGTTATATCAGCAAACTTTTATTTTTTTAGTATGCTATATAAGATTGCAGAAGCAGGTAATAGAAGTGAAAATCAGTACACATTTTCTAGAAAGCAATTTAAATTATGTATCAAAAGTCAGAAAAAATGTCACAATATTTGGACTTAGTTATAGAGGAATCAGAAGCTAGATCAAAGTATGTTTTTCACATCATTATAATGCTGACATGCTGAAGCCAATTACATGATACATGGTTGTTGTTATTGTTGTTAGGGGCCGTGGAGTCTGTTCCGATTAATACTGAGTCTGTGCACGACAGGAAGAAACGCCGCCGGTCAGGCACGCCCCCCACCCCCCGCGATTATTGCTGCTGGATTCCAGTGGGGCCGCCGCTGCGTCAAACATCTCACTGCAGATCTTATTTGCGCCCTTCATACTTTTCGCAGCATGATGTCGCGGTCCCTCCTCATAACGTGCCCCACAGGGAATGAGACAAAGTGCCTCTAGCCTTGCTGCTAAAGAGCAATCTGGCTGTCTTGCTTCCAAGACAGATTTTGTTCATTTTTTGTGGCCAATATTCTTCACCAACACCAAAATTCAAAGACATTAATTCTTCTTCAGCCGTTCTTGTTTCTTTTCCAGCTTCCCAATACAGTGCATGCAAGGCATTGCTTGATTTCTTGACTGCCACTTCCATGGGCCATGTCGTGGACAGTGCAATGAAATACGTGTCAATTTCAGCCTTTTCTCCATTTGTCATGATGTTGCTATTGGTCAGTTGTGAGAATGTTTGTTTTGTTTATGCTGAGTTGAGGGGTAATCCATACTGAAGACTTGGGTCTCATCAGTAAGTATTTCTCATCCTTTTGTCTTTTGACAAGCAAGATTGTGCCAACTGCATATAGCAGTTTATTAAGAAGTCTTCCACCAATCTTGATGCTGCATTCTTCTTCAAATGGTTCATCTTCTTAGATTATTTGCTGAACAAGTATGGGGAAATGATACAACCCTAGATTGAGCAAGTATGGGGAAATGATACAACCCTAACACACCTTGGTTGATTTTAAACCAGGCTGTATTCTCTTGTTCTGTTTGAACGACTGCCTCTTGGTCAATGAACAGGTTCTACATAAGCAAAATTAAGTGCCCTGGAATTTCCATACTTTGCAATGCGATCCATAATTAGTTATGATCCACATAATCAAATTCCTTTGCATAGTCAATGAAATACTGTCACGCATCTTTCTTGTGTTGTCGTATTTCAGCCAAGATCCATGATAGACAGGGTATCCATATTTCTAACTTACCCCCTAGTCCTTTTGAAGTCTGGTATAAGTGTTCATGGTACCTGCTTTCATTCTCAGAAGTGACACTGTATGGTCAATGATAGGACTTCTCTCAATTGGGGTCTTCATTTTTAACTTCAACAAGCTGTGTGTGCTTTGTCATGATGTGTTTGTATGTGTTGAAAATGACTCTTGAAGACTCACAATAGGATAGGACTCACGTGACCCCTTAATAATGTTTGTGCTTATCTGTGCACAAGCAGATTTCTGCCCCTGGATGCTACCACTCTTTTTTTATAATTCAATGACCACTTTGGAGGATGGAAATTGTTTCTCCCTCAACTTGTCACTTCACCGGTCAGCTGCAGCGAGGGGGAAGGCAAAGCAGGGCCAGGAATAACTAGAAAGGAAACTTAAAACCTTCTTATACTTACAGTTCGTGTAGATGGGTTTTCGAAATGGCTTTCCCTTAGAAAAGATAAATGCTACAGTGATACAGTTGATGGTGCAGATGGGCCACAGTGTGGTGCTCTCAAAACTCAGAATGGAGCCAGGAAGCATAGTGGCATTTCCAGTACAGTTTCTTTCCAAAGTCATGTTTGTTGAGAATTTCGTTTGGTTGGCCAGAAAGCACTCCCTATAAAAGAATCACCAGCGCTTATGATACGTTTTATTCAACAGGCCCCCAAATCAAGATAAATGAGAGGTCATCGCTACCACGAGACCTCAGCTTTTAAGCTCCTTCAGCCAGAATATCTTGGACAACTCTTGCAACGACAAAACAAAAGTGACACTCGGAGGCAGTCAAGGTTTTGCTTCGTCCGTTAAGGACAGGTGACCCCCCTCTAAAGGGATCGGATGATCACGTGCTGTGGTGTTCTCACGATTGCCAAAGGCAAATTAATAGTGTCGGCTAAAGCAAGGCCAACTCGGATGCTGAATGAGTCCTTGTCTAATCAATTCACCTCACACCGCTGAAGAATCAGCCTAAGGATCAAAACATGAGACTGTCCTGCTTAGGAAGTGCCTACAGCATCATTTTCCCAATAAATTACACCCAGACTTCTCAGCTTCGCACAACCTACCCTCCTGGCCTGGCCTCGTGTGGCTCCCCACAGATACCTTAGACTCCACATGCAGGAGAGTATTTCTGGTTTTCCCGCATCTCACAGTTTGCACATTTCCAGTTAGATCTACTATCACCCCAACCTCCTTCAGACATCACTGGATTGGCAATGTTTCTGCTTTGGCTGGTAAAGCAGAACTGGTCATTTCTATTATTTGATAACAGCCCTTAGTTCCTTGTTTATAAGTTAGTTTATATAGCTATATTTTCTAATGGCAGTATCTTAGATGTGGACATTTTCATTGTACTTTTCTGCTTTTGGTTACCCTGGAATTTACAACAAAACCTTTGCACCTAGCACAGTGGGGGCCACATAATGTTTATTCATGAACATGTTGGCTTAAAAGATGGATTTTCTTAGTCCTGATTGATCAATTTGCAAAGTTTATTTTTCAATTTTGTTTTTAAAATAATAGCCCACATAGTAGTTTCTACTGGCTTTCTGATTCAGCTTGACACTTTAAAACTATTTTCCACTTTTACAACTATTTATACCTCAAACCAAGTCCGGGGCTATATAGTCTATTCTTACTCAGAGCAACCCCGTAGGGCAGAGCAGAACTGCCCAATAGGGGCTCCGAGGCTGTATATCTTTAAAGAAGCAAACTACCACATTTTCTCCCACATAAATGTTTATAAATAAGATTAATTTTTAACTGTAAACTTATATGCAAGACTTAAGTCTTATTATCCTTGGCTCCTTGGTATCTCGTAGATGATCAGTTATTTTATTTATTTACTTTTTTGGCTAAATAAATTAACAAAGCAAGCAATCAGTAGTCCTGAGGCATTCTTATACAAAAGGAGACAGACCTCTTTATACTCAGATGGCCTTAATTATAGTTTTATATCAAAGAGTACCCTGCCCAATTCCTTCGTATTGCCTATAAGAAAGTCGAGGACTTCTACAACACAGCTAGCTTATTAAAGGCTACACAGGCTCAGTCAAGTAAGCGTTGGATTGTCAACCTCGAGTTCAGTGGTTCAAACCCATCAACTGCTCCTGAAGAGCAAGATGAGGCATCCTGCTCCTGTAAAGATTTACAGTCCCCAAACCCTATCGAGGGTCGCTGTGAGTTGGGAATGAACACAGCGGCGGTGGGTGGGGTTGTGCCCTTTTAACGACACAGTGTATTCTCCTAGAGTCAACCAGAATCGTACACCTTTTAACATCATCATTCTAAAGGAAAACCTAGTTTTGAATTGAAAAGGAATTCCATATTCTTAGGATATTTTAGCATGTCTGCTCCTTTAAAGAGGGACAGTATTGAAAGCCCTATGTAGCATTGCTATGTGTTAGAATCCACCTGATGACCAAAGGTGGAGGGAGAGGGCGTAGCAGTTGGTTATGCCCTGCTTCAAAAGAGTAATTTTCCCTGTATTTTTATTTGTGGCGGGAATGGTAAAGTCTTATCAGAAAAAGATAGTTTGAATATCTATATTTCATATCTTGTCATCTTTACTTAATAGTTTAAGAAACTGAAGTCCAGGGAAGTGAATTCATTTGTCCTGAGTCCTATTGATAGAGACAAAGCCAGAATTAGAAAGAACTAGGTTGGCTAATTGGATTTTAGTGTTCCAACCCAATCAACTAGCATCTTTAACATTCATTTTAAAAAATAGTTATTATTTAGGTTTTTAGTTTATGTTATTTAGTATAAATCAATATCGATTGGTGTATGTCTGCATTAAAGCTTAGCAAACCAACCCACTGAGCTAATCTACCCTGTTTTGGTGAATAAAGTTTTTTTTGGAACATAGCCATGTTCATTTGTTTACATATTCGCTGGGTGATTTTATGCTGCAACAACTAGGCCTGGTAGTTACAACAGAGATCATCTAGTCCACAAAGCCCACCATGTTTGCAGCTGAACCACTACAGAAAAGAATGCTCAACCCCAGTCTATGTGATGCTTAAATAACAGAGGGATAATACAGCCAGTAACACTATATTTCCATCGGCCAATTTAACAGACCCCCTCCTTCTCACACAACGTGGCTTCTTCCAGCCCTCCTTCTATTGATTGTGTCTTGTCCTAGCACTTGTGTTTTGAGGTGTGGACACTCAACTTCTGCTAACTAAAATTTTAGGATATCTGTTGAACCCAAAGTGTACCAGTTCATTGACTGCTCATTGCATATCTCTCAGAGAGTGAAGGAATTAAGAAACTGAACTTTACCTGTATTTGTAGATCTCAAAATACCAGGGCTGCTGCTTCACAAAGAGAAATGCACACAGCTGCACGATGATGGTGAAAGAGGAATTCAAAATGACCGAGAGTAACAAAGGGGGAGAGAGCAGCTGTCCTGGCGGCCTGTAAGGAGCCAACTTAGGGTAGGCATGTGTTGAACTCACTGAAAGATAAGCACATTTATTCCTGTTACAATTTCATCATGGAAAATAAAATAACACTTGGAGGCATAATATCTTACGCCTTATCATAGGATTCAGAATTAACTAGTATGATATGAGAGTTTGCACCCAGGCGAGTACATTCTCTAGTTATATAACCAAGTCTACCCAGCCTTGGCTCTTTGCTGCTTGGTTTTGAGCTTCAGAAACGAAAGGAACAGGCTCAAATTTTCTATGATTAGGGAATGTATCTTATTGAATATTTTTTGTACAACCAGGCTGGATGGGAAGGTTATGTTAAGAGGAATTGACCTTCCAAATGGAATTTGTATTATCTACTGCCAAATCAGGTCGATTCCAACTCAGAGTGAACAGAGCTGAACTGCTTCCTAGGGTTTCAGACAGATTTATCTTTCCCGCATGGAGTGGCCTGTGGGTTTTAACTGCTAGCCTTGTCCTTAGCAGCCCAGCGCCTAACCCACAATGCCACCAGGGCTCCTTTCTAAATGGAGTAAGCACTACCAATAGTACCTTTTGATAATGATGGGAGCATGGAATGTTAGGATGAGAGTAAGACGAAGTTTAGCCAGCCTACTTGTCATGTGTTAAAAAAACAAAACTCACTGCCATTGAGTCGATGCTGACTCATAGGGACCCCCTGTGGGCTTCTGAGCCTGTAACCCTTTTCAGGAGTAGAAAGCCCAGTCTGTCCCCCTCAGAGCTGCTGGTGGTTTTGAACTGCTGTCCATGGGGATCGTAGCCCAACGCATAACCACTATACCACCAGGCCTACCCTGGATATATTAGGTAGTTAAAACGCAAAAAGGACTTTCTTTATTATTCACTCACACCATCTCTATAAATGTTTCAATGTGCCAGGTCCCATCTGAGATGCTAGAGGTGAGCTGTGCTTCCTCCCAGGAAGCACAGGAACAGAGGGCTACTCACGCACATGACACTCTGTTTGGAAAAAGAACTCACAGAAAAAGCACGCTTCCAGATGGAAGTACTAAATTACATTGCATTTTGGGTTCTAGAATTTATCTCTTGACATTTAAAGTAGGTGGAGAGTAAAAAGAACAACTATCAAACAAAACGAAAAGAAAAAAAGATTATATCCTTTTTAGGAGCTACACATTCTAACATGATTATAAAAATGAAATGTGTGTTACTTCCCAAGGCAAAACAGGGGAGAAGCTAAGGAAAGTCGGCAACTAGAAACACCACATTTAATGATTTGCATCAAAATCCTTATGTTTTAGTTCTTGTCTTTACATCTGCCTTGGATTCTTTCCTTTCCACAGCTAATCACTAGTTTTTGGTCAGAGGAAAGGAATTAGGGTGTGTGTATACACGTATGTGGGAGGCAAATGTTGGTGAACCCCCCACCCTCCACTTCCAAAAACAAAATTGTAAGGTAAATAGCTTCTTGCATGTGCGTTTGGCGGGTAATCATATTTTTCATATAAAAAAATCTCTGTTATGAAATGTCTGAAGGAACTCCAGAGATTTTTTTTCCCGTATCAGTTATTCTAAAGCTCTATGACCTGGGTGGTACAAAATAGTTACACTCAACTACTAACTTAAAGATTGGTGGTTCATACTTTCCAAAGACGGCAAACAGGCAGACAATCTCTTGCCATAAAGATTATAGCCAAGAAAATTATAGGGCACAGTTTCTATCGGTGACATATGGTGTCTTCATGAATCAAAAGAAACCCAATGGCAATGTGTTCTAGATGACCCCTGGGTGGCACAAATGGGTTATGCTTGTATTTGAATCCAAAGGTTAGTGGTTTGAACCCACCGAGCAAAGTCTCAGAAGAAAGGCTTGGTGAACAGCTCCCATACAGATTATAGCAAAAACTAAAGCATGTAACTCAGTTCTACTCTATAACACATGAATCAGAATCTACTCAATGGCAACTGGTTAATGGCCATCTAGACTTTTTCTCCATATTGCAGAAAGTTAAGAGGACTTGTATGATTTGGAGACCCAAAACCCATCTCTAGACAATTGGACATCGCCACACAGAAGGTCATAAGGAAGAGATGAACCAGTCAGGGTGCAGTATAGCACCGATGAAACACACAATTTTCCTCTAGTTCCTTAATGCTTTCTTCCCTCCGCTATATCATGACCTCAATTCTACCTTACAAATCAGATTATACCAGAACATGCACACTGCTGCAGATAAGAGCCAGCAACTCAGGGAATCCACTATAGGTAATCCCCTCAGGGTCAACAATGAGAATAGAGATACCAGGAGGATTAAGGGAAGGTGGAGGGAGAAAGGGAGGATCTAACACAAGGATCAACATATAACCCCCTCCCAGGAGCATGAACAATGAAGAGGTGGGTGAAGGGTGGCAGACGATGATGTAAGATATGAAAATAATAATCTATAACTTATCAAGGGTTCATGAGGGAGGGGGGATAGGGAAGGAGGGGAGAAAATGAGGAATGAGGAGCTGATATCAAAGACTCAAGTAGAAAGAAAATGCTTTGAAAATGATGATGGCAGCATATGAACAAATGTGTTGGACACAATGGATGAATGTATACATTGTGATAAGAGATGTAAGAGCCCCCAATAAAAGAATTTAATAAAAAATTGGGGAAAAGATGTTGTAATATAATGGAATAATGATAAACATTGATGCATAGAACAGATAGACTCAAAATAACGGGAAAGAAATGGTGGAAAAGAGACTTTTAAATAAGAAAAAAAGGACCTGCAGCACTTACTAAAGAAGGTCAAAGACAACAGTTTTCAATGTGGATTACAACTTACCATAAAGAAAACTTAAATCCTCACACCCAGACCAACAAGTTGCGTCATGACAAACAGAGATAAGATTGAACTTGTCGAGGATTTCGTTGGACTCTATCCACCTTCAGCGCCTGTGGAAGCAGTCGTCAGGACATCGAATAATTTGCACTGGGAAAATCTGCTATAAATGATTTCTCCAACGTGCTGAAAAGGCAAAGATGTCCTTTTGAAGGCTACAGCCGGTCTGCCCCCAGCCCTGGTCTTTTCAGTCCCCTCTCATATACACAAAACCTAGACCGTGAAGAAGGCAAACCAAAGTAGAAGAGTTGCTTCTGCGTTATGGTGCAGGTGGAGACTACTGACAGTCTGTGGGCTGCCAGAAGAAAGAGCACATCTATCTTGGAGGAAGTACTGTTTGAATGCTCTTCAGAAGGGAGAATGGCAAGACTCTACCTGGCGAATTTTGGACAAGTTCATGAGAGCCCAAACACAACCTTGCATACATCTGATCTCAATTGAGAGACATTTGACACCGTGAGCACGAATGACCTGAGATTAAATCAATCATGGGATGACATCAAGACCATCCTATAGAAAGAAAGCAAAAGGTCATTAAAACGAGGGTACATTTTTAAAAGGCCAAAATGCATGTCAGAAGACTCTCAAACTTGTCTTGAACTGGGTAGCTAGTGTAAAAGAAAAGATGAAGTGAAAGAGCTGGACAGAAAATTACACAAAGCAGGTCAATTAGACAAACGGAAAACTCATTTTAAAAGGTTCAAAGACTTGGAGTTAGTAAACCAAAAGGGAAGAACATGCTTAGCTTACCTTAAGCTAAAAGAATTTAAGAAAATGTCAATGAATGATGGAGTCAACATCAGAAAAAAAAATGGGAAAAAAATGCAGTCATGGCTCCCCCACCCCTACCCCTACCCCCACCCTCAAAAAGTCCAAGCTGCATTGACAGCATTAGTGAAAAACAAGGAATTAAAGAAATATTGATTGAAATGTTTCAACAAACTGATGCAGCTTGCTATGCAAAAAAATTTGGGAAGACAGCTATTTGGCCAACTGGCTGGAAGATACTTATTTGTTCTCATTTCAAAAAGGCAAAGAAACGTGACTCAAAAGAATGTGGAAAATTCTGAACAATATCTTTAATATCACATGCAAGTAAAAATTTGCTCTAGCTAATTAAAAACAGTTTCAATAGTACATTGACCCCGAACTACCAGAAGTTCAAGCCAGATTCAGAAGAGAATATGGAATTAAGGATATTGTTGATATCAGATGAATCTTGGCTTAACTAGAAAGGTGTTTGCTTGTGTTTTACTATGTAAAGACATTCAACTGTGTAGACTTAAGTAAACTATAGATAACATTGTGAAGAATGAGAATTCCAGAGCATGTAAATTGCACTCACGTGGAATTTTCACATAGACCATGAGGCAGTCATTCAAACAGAGTAAGAGTATACTGTATTGTTTATAATCAGAAAAGGCGTGCGTTAGGGTTCTACCCAAGCCATGGTATTTTCAATCACTTCATATGCATGTAAAAGTTGGACAATAAATAAGAAAGATCAGAGAATGAATGATAGCTTTGAATTATGATATTGGTGAAGAATATTGAAAGTGCTGTGGTCTGCCAGAAGAACAGTTACTCATTTATGTTGGAGGAAGTACACCCCGAATAGTCCTGAAAATTGAGGATGGCGTGATTTCATTTCCTGTGCTCAGAGCGTGTTATCAGGAGAGACCAGTCCCAGAAGAAGAAGATCAGAGAAGGAGAGGATTGATAGAGCAGCTACAACCCTGGGCTCAAACATAACAGTAATTGTGCGGATGGTGCAGGACTGGGCAGTGCTTCGTTCTGCTGCATAGAAGGTCGCCAGGAGCTGAAAGACATTCCGTGGCATGTAACAATAACAACTAGACTCGGGAAACCGTGCTGTTTATAAATATTTATATGATTTTATTCCCTTTAAGAGCAATCCAAAATAGGTGTGGGTGTTATAGCTCCCATTTCACAGGTGAAAAAATGGAGTTTGTTTTTCAGGGACCTACAGCTAGTGAGTGACAGGGTGGTGATATAAATGCAAGTCTAATGAAAAAGCTCCACGTTCTCTGTCCTCCAGAATATTCCTGAGTGTGGAGACTGCCAATCAAAGAGAGGACAATGAGGGACCCTGAAATAGTCCTGGGCAGTGCTGGTGATCAGCAGTCAGA